GTTGGTTGTGCGCCATGACCAGACCCATTGTATCTCCCATAGGTCCACTTTTAACAACCTTTGCCGGTTGTGGGTTGTCGTTTTGGCTAAAAAATATTGGATTTGCACATTGGTTGGTTTCCCTTGATCAGGAGACAGCTTTTGATCGATGCCGGGAGTATTCCATGAAACGTCAGACTTGATCAGATGCAGCATTCAGAAGGTTATTGAAAGTTACCTAGAAACAGAGAAATGCAATTAAGTTGAGTGCTGCAGGGTCTTGTTTTGTTTTGCCAATTATGTATCCTGTTCATAATTTTCCATTTTCTCTGTATCCAGGTTGCCTTAAATCATTGTGACTGTGTTACACTCAATGCATTTTTTTTTTTGTTATTTTATCCCCCCCTCCTGTCATCTAGATCAAGTTACACTGAGATGAAGGGTCTTTCAATCTGCCACAGCTCCACAGCCAGCTCTTCCCTACCTGGTTTCATCATTTTCTTCATTACATTTTATGTTCACAAGCTGGAATCAGGTAGGAATGTCCGTGGCTTCTGCTGCTTCTTACAGGATTTATTCATTTGTATGATTTCTACAATTGTGACGGGTTCCCTGAACCACTGAACCTGACCCTTCTGCCAGCCTGGGCACCCCTTGCCTCTATCTTGCCGAGCCAGACCCTCCAGGCCTCCTCCAGCACAAACACAGAGCTAGGGCCGCACCCCTCTGCAGAATACAGACACTGAGATCAGCTCAGCTCTGGGAAGGTTCAGTTAAAAGGGACTTGCCTCAGCACCCCAGTGCACAGCCCCACTGGGGCCTGAACCCCAGATAAATTCGTCTTATACTGTACACGTTCATATTGTTCACCCTCTTTCTCAAAGTGAAGAGAGATATGCGCAGACTGTTTGCCTCCCAGGTAATGATGACTTACACTGGGTTTATTAATAAACAAAAGGGATTTTATTAAGTACAAACGGTAGGATTTAAGTGATCATGAGAGGTAACAGATAGAACAAAGTAAGTTAATAAGCAAAATAAAACAAACACACAAGGCTAAGCTTAATACACTAAGAAACTGGTTACATGTAATATCTCACCCTCAAAGATGTTCCAATAAGCTTTTTTCACAGACTAGACTCGTTTCTATTCGAGGCCCAATCTGTTCAGTCTCTGTTAGTTCCAGCAGGCATCTTGGGTGGTAAACAGGGGTGTCCTCATAATTCCCTCTTTATCCGGCTTCAAACCCTATTATAGATTTGGCAGAAGGCGGGAATCCTTTGTCTCTTTCTTTAAACTTTCCCCCCGCTTTGTGGAAAAATATAAAATCCCAGATGGATTCCAGCATCAGGTGACAGACACGTGTCTTTGCAGGGACCCATAGGCGCTAACTCCGTGGGTGCTGAGGGGCTGGAGCACCCATTAGGGAAAAATTAGCAGATGCTCCACACCCACTGGCAGCCAAGCTCCCCCCGCCTCGCCTCCTCCCCTCTTCCCATTCTGAGCGCGCCATGTCCCCGCTCCTCCCCCTCCCTCCCAGCGCTTCTCCCACTGCCTAACAGCTGTTTGGTGGCACTTAGGACTTTCCAGGAGGGAGGGGGAGGAGCGGGGATGCAGCGCACTCGGGGGAGGAGGTGGAGAAGAGGCAGGGCAGAGGCGGGGCTTGGGGGAAGGGTGGAATGTGGGTGGGGAGGGGGCGGGGCTAGGGTGGGAAAAGGCGGGGTGCGCGGGGACTTTGTAGAAGGCTGTGGAATTGGGGTGGGGCGAGGGTGGTGCAGGGGTGGGGCCGTGAGAGGGGGAATCGAGCACCCACAGGGCAGAGGAGAAGTCGGCGCCTATGCAGGGACCCCCATCGGCCCTCCTCCTCACAGGCATCCCGTAGACTTACGGGAAAACAAATCCATCGACAGCCCATTGTTTCTTGCTTAAGAGTCATCAGGTTCCTGAAGTACCCTTAATGGCCCTCACTTGGTATAACTACATTAGTAACAGTAACATCAGTTTACACTTCATATTTCTAACTTCAGACATAGAAATGAGACATGCATACAAATAGGATGAACACATTCAGCACATTATATCCTTTCCAAGGGTATGTCACATAACTGGAAATGCTTTATTCAAAATTTGTCATGTCATATTCATAAGCATATTTCCATAAAGAATATGGAGTGCAATGTAACAACAATTACCCGATTTAACTACATTATACAAAACTGAACAAAAATCAGCACAAATTCCCAAGCGTCTCAACATCAGTAAAAAATAAATGAATTCTTGTGAGCTGGGCGAAATCTTGTTTTGGATTGAGTTGACCTTCTTCAAATTGGTGTGTGAATGCAGCCTTTCACTGAACATAGCTGTAAAAGAGAGTAAAGTGGCCACACCTAAAACAAGGCTAAACAGAGTCTGTGCAGAGGCTAGGGCTATGTCCACACTACAGGCCTTAGAGCGGCACGGCTATGCCACTGCAGCTGCGCCACTGTGAAGTCTCGTGTAGCTGCTCTGTGCATAATTAAACCACCCTTAACGAGCAGCGGAGGAGACACTCTCTTGCTGACACAGTGCTGTCCACACCAGCGCTTTTATCGGTGAAGTTGATGTCGGTCACGGGGGGTGACCTGCCTGACAAAAGTTTGCCCCACAAAAGTGCTAGTGTAGACGACACCTAGCACTGTGGCTGTGTTGGGTGTGGGGAGGAGGTGGCAAAGACAGGGAGGAGGTTTTCCACTGGGTATTGTGACCCGGTGAGTGTGAGATTTGAGAGAGCGAACACACAGAACTGACAGCAGACAAGAACAGAGAGGCGGAGACAAAAAAAGCAAAGAAGTCAAGCAGCAGCTGTGACCACAGTGCAATGCTGGGAAAAGCGACAGAGAGAACTTTTGAGTCTGTTGGCTAGGAAGGCTTGGGGCTGGAAGCTACAAAACTGCTCCTTTCGCTTTTGGTTCCTCCTGCATTTGGAGAAGCAGGACTTGGTACATTCCTTGTAAATAAAAAAGATTGCAGCAAAGAGAATACCAGGCTCTGTCAGTGTCTACTTCCAACAGGCCCCAAAACTGGACTGGCTGCTGAGGTTGAAAAGGGGTAACAATACAGTAAAATGTCTCCCCGGGCCTTCAGGTTTCATAACTACACCTCATCCATCCAGTTTCTTAATATGGCCCTCCTTGAGTGTCCTCCTCAACATGCTCTTTTTCTTCTCAGAACCCTCATCAGCTTGGACTGTGCAGGCGCAGATTCCATAGGAACCAGAGAGCAAAGGAGTTCTCATATTTAAGACTCTTCATTGAAGGTCTCCTGGCCACCTGTCTGTCCCCCATTTTCAAACTATGGGGAGAGGCGCGGGGGGGAGTATTAGCTCAAACATCCCAGCTGACTTCACAGAGCTCGTGAGCAAAGTACTCCCTGTGAGAAGCAAGTCATGCAAATGGCTGACTGTAGGAAACCTTCTCTTCTTTCTGCCAGTCGAGCAGTCTCGGAGTGAAGCAGGGGCTCTGTGGAAAGGCCAGTAATGAGGTCATAGAACAGAAGACTGTATCGGACACAAAAGGAGGCAGAAATGAAGTAGCACAATCTGGCATCTCCTAATATTTAAGTGCTTTGTTTGGCAACCTTAGCTCCTGATTGAGTAAAGCAGGGATTCTCAAACGAGTGGTCATGACCCCTTGGGGGTTGTGAGGTTATTAGACGGGGGTCACGTGCTGTCAATCTCCACCCCCAAGCCCTACTTTGCCTCCAGCATTTATAATAATATTTGTTTAAAAGTTGTGTTTTTAATTTATAAGGGAGGTCACACTCAGGCTTGCTGTGTGAAATGGGTCACCAGTACAAAAGTGTGAGAACCGCTGGAGTAAAGCATTTAAGCTTATGCTTCAAGTTAAACACATGCTTAAGTTTCCTTCCTAAAGAAAGATTCTTTCCTGAATGGTACCCTAATAATGTTCTTTAACTTAGTTTATATGTTTTCTAACATTCAAAAACCTTAAAAACTGTTTCAAACAGAAGGCGATGATTTGAAATGTTTGCAAATGCAAATTAATTCTGTCTGGAGCTGCTTGTAAGGATAATGGCAGAAAGTATTTCAGCTTCCATTAAAACGAATATAAATTATGGTTATCCAAATGCATTGTTTGTTGTAAAATTCATATATAAATTCAGGACACATCCTAGTCAATGACCGAGCACTGCAATAGAGGCACAGAATAGGAAATACGCACAAAGAGATTCCAATTTATGAGTGTCCTTGATTAAAAGGGAATATGATGTACATTTACTTTATTTGTTTTATCTTTGTGCATTTGGCAGCTCGGTTCACTGTGGTTGGACCTGATCACCCTGTCGCTGCCATTGTGGGTGAGGATATCGTGTTACCCTGTCACCTGTTCCCCAGGATGAGCGCTGAGAACATGGAGGTGAGATGGTTCCGATCTGAGTTCACTTCATTTGTGCACCTGTATCAGCATGGGAAGGATGAGTATGGGCAGCAGATGCCAGAGTATCATGAAAGGACGGAGCTTTTGAAAGCCGGCATCATGGATGGGAATGTTGCCTTGAGGATTGTGAATGTCAGACCCTCTGATGAAGGACAGTACTGCTGTTTTGTTCAAGATGGTATCTTTAATGAAGAAGCTGTATTGGAACTGAAGGTAGAAGGTCAGTAAAAGGTGTCTGTAAAAGTCCACAAAAGTACTTAGGCACCTAACTCCCCATGTCAGACACCGAAGTCCAAAATTCAGGTGCCCCTGAAATCCTCCAATTAGTCATTAAATGAGATCCTAAATTAGTCATTGGACCAGAGAAAGAGAGTGAGAATAATCTGGAGGCCAATGATCAGGGCTCTCACATGTTAGAAGGAGACCCAAGGTCTAATCCTCCTTCTCCAATGACTGCAAATAATTATTTGTCCTAAGTGAAACAGCTTCAGCAGGAGAGAATGAAAGAGCCCCACATCAGAATATCCCAGAGCCCAGTGGTCAGAGCACACTCATGGGCAGTAGAAGATCCCTGTTCACATCCTTTCCCCCCCATTAAGCAGAGGGGGTAGTTGAACCAGGGGTCTCCCACATCTTCAGCAAGTGCTGTAAAAACTGGGATGAAAATTCTATGGGAGGTACCAGCTTCCTCCCTAGATGCTGGATTTTGTGGATCCCATTATCAGGCACTGATCTCTCCCCTAACTCAGGTTTTGTGGATTCCAGTGGTTTTCTAGAGCGTCTTAAAAGTTAGGCCACCATTGCAACACCAGTTCTCGTTGTGGAGTTGGGCCTCCGTGTTTATCATTTTGCAAATTGTTACCCTTAAATCCCCTTTCACTTCCCTGTTTCCTCTATCAGCAGTGCTGGTGTTTGTGCCTTGGGAACATTTCAGCCTCTCAACGGGCTTTCAATCCAAATGAGGGAATGGAGAATATCCCTAGACATTAGGGAGTTGCTCATCCCCTGAAGACAGAGACACCCACAAATAGTGGGTTTCATTTTATCCCAGTGGCGAGGGAGAGCCTCACTGGATATTTAGCAATAGCAGCAGCTGGTTCTTAGTTCCTGGTCCAAGCTCAGTTTCTTTTAGAGGCCGAATTCTGTCCCTCCTTTAGAATTCAGGAAGAAAATGGAAAATGCCTAACGTGTTTCCTATGGCAACGGGTTAGGTCTCTGAGTCACTTCGCACAAAACAGCCAGAGGAGGAGAGGATGGTGCCTAAGCCAGCCAGTGGGAAATGTCAACCCCAGAGGTGTGGCTTAAGCCCTGGCCCCGCACTGACAGACAAACAGCTAAGTGCAGGCTGCAGGGAGGTGCCTGTCTCTGCTGGTGATCCGTGAATGGGAACCAGACAGCACAGGCGCCTAAGTCATTTCTTCAGGGCTGGATTAAAGCTGGGGCTTTAGGGGCTGCAGCCCCAGGCTAAGGGGGAGCCCTGAAAAAAGATCTCTGGGCTGCCAAAGTCCAGATCATTTTGCAGGGGCCCCGGGGCTGCAGCCACTAAAGCACCTGTGTTATCCAGCCCTTCCTGGCGGGGACTTGGAGGCAACTCCACGTGCTGCCATTCCCCACCCTCCCCTGGGCTGGAGCTGTGAGCACTGGCTCACAGAAATCAGGGAGGGAAGCTCCGTCCATGCACTGTCCTCGCCTGCAGGTGCTTCCCCCTCCCCCCCGTCTCCCATTGGCCGGGAACCACACCCAATGGGAGCTGCGGGGGCGGAGTCTGCAGGTGAGAGCAGCATGCAGAGCCACCTGTCCCACCCTCCAGGGCTGCAGCCAGGGATATGCCGGCAGCTTCTGGGAGCAGCGTGGGCCAGGGTAGGCAGGGAACCAACCCGCTGCCCCAGCCCTGAGCCTCCTCCTGCACCCTAACTCCCGCTCAGACCCCAACCTCCTGCCCTGAACCCCCTCTTGCACTCCAAACCCCTTGGCCCCAGCCTGGAGCCCCTTCCTGCACTCTGAACCCCTCATTTTTGGCCCCATCCCAGAGCCTAGGAGAAGCCCTGAGCCTCTGCCCCCCCATGTGATCATTTTGTTTTAAATTAGGACAAAGACTTTATACAGGGAGGGACCCCACAAAATCTGATAGCCCTGGGCCCACAGAAGAGTTAATCCGGCCCTGCATTTCTTGCAGGAATTAATTAGGTGCCTGCCCCATTCCACACAAAATAAGCAGAGGAAGAGGTGCCCACCTTATAACTTTTAGTCCAGTGGTTAGAGCACTCAGCTGGGTTGTGGAACATCCAGCTTCAATTCCTCTCTTTCTGCAGGGTGGAGAAAGGAATCAAACAGGATCCATCTCTAAGGAGAGTGCTCTAAACACTGAGCTATGGGAAATCCTAATGTGAGGCTCCCTCAGTCTCTACGGGTTTCAGAGTAGCAGCCGTGTTAGTCTGTATTCGCGAAAAGAGAAGGAGTACTTGTGGCACCTTAGAGACTAACAAATTTATTTGAGCATAAGCTTTCGTGAGCTGCAGGTATAAATTGTTCTCGGGTGGGACAGTAATGAAAAAAGGACATTTTCCTCACCTCAGTTACAGTCAAAACAGAAACTTTGTTCAGCGAGAGTTACAATTATATCAGGACCCACTGCACAAACTCGAACACCGCTGGTGAAGAGGAATGTGCTCGGTCAGCCACAGCTTTTGGACTTGAATTAGTTCATGGAAGACATATGGCCTGTGTGATCCAGGAGGTCAGATGGGATGATCACAGTGGTCCTTTCTGGCCTTAAAAATCTATTGGATCTGTGAACAAAAAACCTTCAAAGCCTAGAAATCAGAAATCCAAGAGAAATTCTTTTGCATTCCTTGCCGACTTCACATCGCCTACTAAGCTGCTGATTACACGCTCCCACGCTCTGCAAGGCTTTCACTTCCATCTCTAAGGCCGCAGGCCTGCAAAATGCTTAACAAGTACTTAAGTTTCATTAAAGTCAAGTTTCCTGTTTCTGCAAATATCAGTCATAAAGTGAATTCAATCATTTTCTTGAAAATGTAAACTTTTATATGCTCGGCTGCATATATATATCATTTAACACTGACTCATTTTACTCTAGCTTCAGGCTCTGCACCTCAAATCTCTGTTGAGGGATATCAGGATGGAGGGATCCGAATGGTGTGTCAGTTGGCTGGATGGTACCCAGAGCCCGAGGTGCTGTGGAGAGATCGCAACGGGCAGCTTTTATCTCCCTCTACTGAAACAAAATCCCAAGATGGACGAGGGCTCTTTGAAATAAAAAGTTCTATCATTATAACAGAAAATTCAAACCAGAATTTATCCTGTTCGGTAAGGAACGCTTACTTCAGCCTAGAAAAGGAACCCTCAACTTTTTATATATCAGGTGAGTTACCACCAAAACCAAACACTGATATCCCAAACTGCGGGGAGAAGAAATAAAATCTAGGTTGCTAAATAATACAAAAGTTAAAATATTTCCGCAGAAAAAACTACATTAAGTTAAGGTTCAGAACACAATTTAGGGTAAAACACATTCCAGGGATATAGTAATTATCCCAGAAACAAGCAGTTTTGACACAGGAAATTCAGAATTAAGGTTAAATTTAAAAGAAATCCAAATGCATTTCTGCAGAGAAATGCCCTATAGATACGATTATAATAAAACCATGATGGTTGGTGTTTGAGGTCCCATATAAGAATAAACTGGTATTTTATTTATATCTTTTTTTTATTAATGTATGTTTAAGCTGAAATTTGATTTTTTTTTCTCATACAGCCACCACAGGGCAGTGTTAAGGTATATTGGGGCCCTTACTGATTGGTTGGACTTTCCACCTCCTGGTGGTCTGGTGGATCAAGGACTGGGCTTCTTGCCCCAGGGACTATAGAGTGGGAGAAGTGATATGCTGTGATCTCCTCAACATAGAGGAAATTTGTGACTGAGTCTCTGGCTCATGAAGGGTCAGAAGCAAGGCAGGTCCAAGAAAGTCTGGAGCCCTGGGAACAGTCATTTGAGTGTGTCACTCACCAAAAGGTCCATGTTTTAATTTGAAATTTGATTTCTCATCCTCTAGCAAACTTCACGCAGGGAAGGGGGTTGCCATAACAAAATGCTGTGGGCCTGATCCAAAGCCCGTTAAAGATGTTAATAGGATTTGGATCAGTTCCTTCGTACCCATTTAACAGATCAGCTCTTTTGCCAGCTGAAGTGAAGAGTATTTTAATATTTATCTCCCCCCCCCCCCCCCAATAATTATTTATTTCCACTCTTAAATCGTCAGATTTTCTTTTACTATGGAAGTTTCCTGCTGTTATGAAAGTTTTAATTTTACTTAAATGTAAGTTTTCTGTTGGGAAACGTAATGATTACATATAATTTCTCTTCCTACATGTTTTAACTGTAGCATTAATTTCATGAAAAGGAGGAGGCACTTTCCCCTGAGTTGGCTCCTGGGTTGGATGATGGGTTCAGAAGCACCGGTTATTTAATAGCATGAAGACTGTGCATAAGGACAACCAGAATTAAAATATAATCAAACAAACCCACTAATTTTATATATATATATATATATTTTATAGCACACACACAAAATACCTTAAATGAAAATTGGATTCAAAAGTTAGGAAATACCAGAATTCAGGTTCCCTGTGCCTTCTAAATTTGGCCCCTTTGTCTCTATGCACTATGATACAGTTTCTAATACCATGATTACGTACTATTTCCCCTTTCCTCCAAAAGGGCCACTGAACTGCCGTACCCATGAGACCATCCTTTCTCTTCCTGGAATTCCCTGCCTTTTTCTTTCCACACTTTCCAGCTTGTGAAAGAAATGAGGCCAGGGTCCTACAGGCAACACCCTCCTTCACTGCACAGCCCAGATTCATCCCCAGAGCAGGTGCCTCCAGTGCACTGAATGAGGCAAGAGTTCTGTGGGGGAGGGAGGAATAGTATGTGATCATTTAATTAAAGATTGTGTCATAAGGCATATACACAAAGGGACCAAATTTAGATTAACATAGGAGCAGTCATACGGGGTCAGACCAAAGGTCCATCTAGCTCAGTATCCTGGCTTCTGACAGTGGCCAATGTCAGGTGCCCCAGAGGGAATGAACAGAACAGGGAATCATCAAGTGATCCCTTGTTGCTCATTCTCAGCTTCTGGCAAACAGAGGCTAAGGACAGCATCCCTGCCTATCCTGGCTAATAGCCATTGATGGACCTATCCTCCATGAATTTATCTAGTTTTTTTGAACCCTCTTATGGTCTTGGTCTTCACAACATCCTCTGGCAAGGAGTTCCACAGGTTGACTGTGCGTTGTGTGAAGAAATACTCCCTTTTATTTGTTTTAAACCTGCTGCCTATTAATTTCATTTGGTTGACCCCTAGTTCTTGTGTTATGAGAAATAGTAAACAACACTTCCTTATCTACTTTCTCTACACCAGTCATAATTTTATAGACCTCAATCGTATCTCACCTTAGCCTTCTCTTTTCCAAGCTGAAAAGTCCCAGTCTTATTAATCTCTCCTCATGTGGAAACTGTTCCATATCCCTAATCATCTTTGTTGCCCTTTTCTGAACCTTTTCCAATTCCAATATATATTTTTTGAGGTGGGGCGACCACATCTGCAGACTGTGTTCAAGATGTGGGCGTACCATGGATGTATATAGAGGCAATATGATATTTTCTGTCCTATTATCTATCCCTTTCTTAATTATTCCCAATATTCTGTTCGCTTTTTTGACTTCCGCAGCTTATTGAGTGGCTGTTTTCAGAGAACTATCCACAGTGACTCTGAGATCTTTCTTGAGTGGTAACAGTTAATTTAGACACCATCATTGCATATGTATAGTTAGGATTACGCTTTCCAATGTGCGTTACTTTGCATTTATCAACATTAAATATCATCTGCCATTTTGTTGCCCGGTCACCCAGTTTTGAGAGATCCTTTTGTAGCTCTTTGCAGTCTGCCTGGGTCTTAACTATCTTTAGTAATTTTGTATCATCTGCAAATTTTGCCACCTCACTCTTTATCCCTTTTTCCAGATCACTTATGAATATGTTGAATAGGATGGTCCCAGAACAGACCCCTGGGGGAAACCACGATTTACCTCTCTCCATTCCGAAAACTGGTTGCACTGTCTCTTTGCCCAGCCAAGCTCAGCTGTAACCCCACACTCCAGCTCCTTGTCAGATGAGACTCCCCTTCCTGTTCCCTGTCTCCCTACTGGTTCCCAGTCTCCTTGACAGGCCTTGTTCTAGTCTGTCCCTCTGCTCCCTCTTCCTCATCTGGTCTCAGTTCTCACTTTTAGTCCTGCCACTCCCATTTCCCTCACTGGTTCCCAGTCTCCATCTCCACCTCATTCCCAGTCACAGTTTCTCTCTCACTCCAGAACCGGTCTCAACAAGCACTTTGTTCCAGTCTAGTCCTTTACCTCCTTCCGGGTCGAGCTTCCCTCCCCCTCTTAAATCCTAATCAGTCCCCTTCTACCTCCGCCCTGCCTAGACACCAGCAGAGTGGGCACTGAGAGCACAGCGGAGACAAGCCCCCTGCTGTCCATTCTAGTGCCCAACCCCACACCAGCTTGGAGCTGGGAAAGCTCAGCTTTGCCCTTTTATCCTTGACCTGGAGCGTGGGGATGTCACATGTGAAGTCTGGTCAGCAGTAGGGGATGTGAGGGGATGGAACATGCTCTGTGAGGACAAAACCTTCGGAGAATTTTACTGTTAAACTCTAAGAACTCTACCGAGTGTGCACAAAACTAAAATTTTTCAGAGGCTTATCACTTGGCCAATTATTGCATGGATTTTCACAGGGAAAGGGCACAAAGGTCACACCCTGCTGAATATCAAGTTTCTGCTCAAAAGCCCAGGGCACTAAAGCTTCTCCTAGAAAAAGTCATCAGATTTTTTTTTTTTAAATGTCAAAACAATTCTCTAACCTCATTCCCAGAAACATTGGAACCATTTTGGCTGAAACCCAGCCTGGAACTTTTCTGCCCAGATGACTAAAGTTTGGCAAAGTTAGTGAGCAACTAAAAAGAAGGCCCTATAATGAGAAGGGTGGAGCCACCTTGATAACAGGTGATTTGACCAGGCCCACTTATTTATGCTGGCAGAGGCAGGGGGCGACATGGGTCACGTGAAGGCCTCACGTCGGCGCAACGTGGTCCATACGGGCCCCCCCACTTTTCTGGCGGTGCCCCCCAGGCCCTTTTTCTACTGGTGCCTCTGTATGCCGGAGAGGGGAAGACGGAGACAGGGAGAGGCTGGTAGCACTTCACATAGTATTGAATGGTGTGTTAAATACTATCAAAAGTGTGTGAGCAGAACCTCTCTTAAAATTGGTTTCTGCCCATTTTTATCTTGCAGGGAGCAATTTTTCCCACATTTTTTTCAAGCAAACCCTGATGTAATACATTTTTCTAGAGTAAAAGTGTACACTGTTTGTCATTCCAAACTATAGTATAGTTTGTTATTTCCAAACTGATGTGGGCTTTGTGTTTCAGATTTCTTTTTCCCAAGAATGTCTCCTTGGCTGGTGGTGTGGAGTGTGACTCTGGTGATTTCGTTAGTGTTCGTCGGCCTTACTCTTTTTCTGCTCAAATTAAGAGGTAAAGCTGGAATGGGGAAAATACCGTGTAATCAGAATGAGATTTTCTCCATAGAAAAGACAGTTTAGACTTTTCTACATGAGAAAGTTACATCATCTTAAGGTGTGAAATTAAATGGATTTTGTTAAACCAATGCAAACCTCTGTGTGGACACATCAATTTAAGTGGAGTTTATTTCAGGTTACCTTAAACCTGTTCCTATTCATCTTAAAATAAGCCTACACTTGGTTTGCACCAGTTTAATTAGATTGTCAATGGAGTCTGAGGGAGTTAGGTTCCCAACTCGCACTGTAATTCAATGTAGTTGGGGGGTTTTAAGTACCCTTGGCTCGAACGAAAATCCTTGTCTTATGAAGTTTCTGCTGTTTAATTCTAGTGTGTTCCAAAGATTATTACAGTATTAAGGAATGGCTTGTTGTTTTGTTGTTATGGAAGGCTCCATCCAGGAATGCCAGTACACAGAGTCTTCCAAATTTTTCTCTTTTTTTTACTTTGTTTTAGTGTGTGAGCAAATGTTCAGTCTTGGGGAAGACAGGCTGTGTTGTTGTTAGTTTGGGGTTCTGCAAAGTTTCAGGAAGAGGGAATTGAACAAGAAAGGAACAAGGAGAGTTTGCTCATTGTCTTGATCTCAGGTTAGAGTCAATTCTTGAGGTATCAAATCTTGAGATTCTCTAGGAACCAAATGTCATGGATCCACACTCCAGCTCTTAAAGAGTCAATTGGAGGAATCCCTTCAGTTTGCCTCGCATCCAAAGGATCTCACTCTTCCTTCAGAGTAGGCCTCACAGCCTCATTGTTACCCGGGGTTCTTTCAACCCAAAGCTCTTGGTAACTTTTACTCTGTGTGAGGTGGTGTCAGGAAATAAATCGGGGAGACACGGCCGTCTGACCGATAGATGGCTGGCACAAACAGGACAACACAAGAGTGCTTTCATTTAAAGCTAAACTTTACTTAGTCTCAAGCACTTATATACACGTCTGCAACAGGTTAGTAAAACACCCCCAACCCTTGATAATTACCAACGCTGAGTGTGGCTCTCGAGTGGCACAGCGACAGCCCGTCTACCAGTGGGAAACACAAGATGCATCCAGAGAGAGAGTCCAGTCCTGAAGAGTCCCCCTACCTCAAACTTTTTCCCCTTATTTATACATTAGTAATAGAATGACATGTCCCTTAAAGCAAACTTGTTAAGTAAGCAGTTTCAATGGTCAAGCGAGAGGTTCCTTCTGATTATCAATTAACCAGGTGTGGGTTTTTCCAGAGTTTGCAGTCTTGAGGCCCCAATAGACATTCCTGGGGCACATCCTGATCTTCTAAGATGCATGTATCAGCAACTTCAACACAATTCTTATCAGGAAGGACGCGGGGTCAAGCTGCCCTCTGTGGCACCCAAACCCCCCCCCCCCCCCGCCTGGTTAAACTGAGACTGCTGAATGGCCAATTTACAGCCTGCTGACTTGGCTGCTTTTAGCAATAAGCCATAGTGGTTTTAGGCACTTTACTGGTTTGCCAAAGTCTCCCCGTACATCATCACCTGCTTAACTGAGCCTCTGGGCTCCTGCACTCGGGTTTTCACACCAAGAGCTTTCCCCAGCTAATTTACACTTAGACAGACTCCTGAACAGAGGCTGGTATGCTCTTCAGGGACTTATGTGCCACAGCAAGTTTTTGCAGTGACGTGAAACAGCCTTCTCAAAACAGAGTAGGATTTATTAGTCAACTGGCATCAATTCTTGGCGTTCCCTGGGAACCAAGCCCTGGTGCTAGGTGAAGTTCTTAGAAGAAACAATTGCCTGTGTGCTGTTTGTGACCATCTCTGTTCTAGGCCAGGTCTATGTGTAAATAAATCAAATTACACTCTGTGTCGCTGATTTCTCCTGCACTGGGCACCCAACCTGCAAGTCCGTGGGGAGCTGCAATGGCTTGGTAGAGCAGCATCATTATTATTACACAAGGACTCATAATGAAAAGATCCTTTTAAATCTAGAGTCACTGAAAAAGTCCCTACATAATTTTATTTATATTTTCTTTTTTAGGGAAACATCTCAACACTATCAGTAAGTTCCGTTTTCTCCTGGTAGAACCAATGTTATGCTCTGAAAGATTTTTGAATAAATGTGACAATATCAACTTGAAAATCATAAGTAATACTAATTGCATAACTTATTGTATCGGTAATGGGTAGGAAGCCAGTATTGGACATGTGTCTTCAGGAGGCACCATGGAGTGGGTGACTGGGGGGACTGGGCACTTGATGCCCATGGCAGAAATGGCTCCATGCCAGCTCCATAAAACAACTTCTGAGAGGGGCTGGTGGCAGCCCAGGATTGAAGTGAGGATGTGGTCACCCAGATCAGGATTCTGTGCACTGAGTGCCGACAGCCCTAGCATGTAGGTGACGCATGTGAGTTATAAGTGTGACCTTTCACCCAGCTCAAGGCTAGCATAAAGGCCACTGAGAGAATTTTGGGCTGCCTTCTGCCTTTCCTTATAGAGCTGCACCTGATCAGACCCCTAGTGCAACTACACAA